CAACTCCTTTACTGCCAGACCAACTCCTTAACGCCTCGCCTCAGTGGAGACAAACCAACTCTTCCAGTCCCTACACTTATCCATTTCTCCATGCCATCACCTCCCACCCCAGACCCACTGACTCCTCCAAAGTGTGCGTCCGGACCAGTTCTTGCAGGCTCCCTCTAAACTTCCAGGAACTAGACTCCTCCAGCCTGCAAGGCACCCTCACCGCTTACTTAGCACAGACCAATCGGCAACCAGGCTCCCGCTGACTCGTCTTGACATTCTTCCTTCCCTCAAACTCCTTCACTGCCTCTCCAAGACTGCCCACCAAAACAAACAAAAAAACAAAAACAGCCCTGGCCAGTCTGGCTCAGTGGATAGAGCTTCGGCTGCGAACTGAAAGGTCCCAGGTTCGATTCCGGTCAAGGGCACATGCCCGGGTTATAGGCGTGATCCCCAGTGGGGGGCGTGCAGGAGGCAGCCGATCCATGATTCTCTCTCATCATGGATGTTTCTATCTCTCTCTCCCTCTTCCTTCCTCTCTGAAATCAATAAAAATATATTTAAAAAACAACAACACACAAACAAACAAGCAAAAATGATTCTGCCTGGGGAACAGCAGGCACGTACAAGGACTAGTATCTTATTTAATCCTCCCAACTACCTCCTGGTAGCAATTAGCGCCATTTGCCGAGGGAAACAGGAGGCTCAGAGAATGGCTCACTCAAAGCCAGACAGACAGCAGGATGGTTACCCACAGCTGCTCCTCTTCTGAGAACCTGCAGATCAGAAATTTTACCCCACCCTGTGGCAAACCCTCTAACTGCCCCCCACGACCCTCTAGCTCACAAACTGACCATCTGCCCCCAGCCCAGTGAGTCCCTTGCTGCCCCTCTCCTGGAAGCTCGCGAAGCAGACACATCCAGCCCCCACCCTGTGAACCAACTCCTCTAGACGGACTCTTAAAATGACCAACGTCAACTAACGTCACCCCTAAAACGACCAATAACAACTGCAACTTCATGAAGGCTCACTTTGGCCAATAACTTTTCACACACAACCTGATTTATTCCTCTCTTAAACCCTGTAGCATGGTGGTTGTTGTTTTTAATATATTTTTATTGACTTCCAAGAGAGCGTCGAAAGGGAGAGAGCAACACTGATGAGAGAATCTTTGATTGGCTGCCTCCAGCACGTCCCTGACTGGGGATCAAGATCGCAACTAGGGCATGTGCCCTGACCACGAATCGAACCATGATCTCCTGGTTCACAGGTCAAAGCCACACGCCGGGAAGGCATGGGTATTATCACCCGCTTTACAGATGAGGAAACTGGGGCTCAGAGGAATTAGGTTACCAGTCTGAGGTCACGAAGTGGGTAAATGGAGTCAGGACTTGAACTGGAGCCTCTGCTCTTCACCAACCAGCTGTCTCCCCCGGTCTTCCCCCTGCCTGCTCTGAGCTCTCTGCACTGAATACCATGCTACAGTCAGGGCCCACTCTCACTCTTCCCTTCCTCAGCTCCAGCCCCAGCCCCCCAAGTTCTCCAACCCAAAAGTGACCACCTATCCCTGGGGCCTAGAGCCCAAGAACTTGGCTGGCTTCCAATGTCAAGAATCTCAAATTATGCCCTACCCAGTTTGGCTCAGTGGATAGAGCGTCGGCCTACAGACTGAACGGTCCCGGGTTCAATTCTGGACAAGGGCACAAGCCCGGGTTACAGGCTTGATCCCCAGTAGGGGGCGTGCAGCACAAGGACTCGCCCTCCCGGCTGCCGTCCATCACAGGAGAGGCCGTCCACCTTCCCAGCCGGCGGGGAAAGCGCTCCTCCAGCTAGCTGCCCTCGCAGCTCCAACGCTGACCTGGCCGCCTCCAGGGACCTACAGTCCACAGACTTGCTTCCTCCCCCAACACCTCCCCCACCCAACTTCTCCCATGTTCTCACCTGCTACCGACCAGCACCTCCAATTCCCCAATTCTTTCTCGGGTGGGGAAAAAAAAAAGAAAGACCCTTCTCTACCCAGGCCCCAAAGTCCCTCTGCTCCTGAACGACAACCAACTACAGTGGGGCCTTGACTTACGAGTGTCCCGACTAACGAGTTTTTTGAGATACCAGCTGTCTCTCCGCCGATTTTTTGCATTGAGTTGATAGAGTAATTTGAGTTAACGAGCTCGGTCTCGGAACGAATTACACTCGTAAGTCAAGGCTCCACTGTATTGCTTCCAAGCACGGAGTGACTTTCCTCCTTCTTCACGCCGCGCTAACACCTGACTCTCTCACCCCCAATGGACCACCATTCTGCTCCTTTTCCGCGACTTTACCTTGACTCCCGCTCCCCGACCCCAGGATTTACCGCCCCCGCTGCAGCCACAGTCCAGGTTCAGTCCCTGCCTTCCCCCAGGCTTCAGACCAGGAAACGGAACCGCTTTCATCCCGTGGGCCCAGCAGACTTCTCCAACTGCGCTTCCAGCGCCCGTGCTGGCCTCCCCTCCCCGGCTAGCTCCCTCGATCCTGCTCCGGGGGAACTATGAGCTCAAAGGCCAAGTCCTCCCGATCTCCCAGGCCACCAAACTTTCTTTTAATGGCTCATCGTTTTAATTCCTAAAACCATCGGGCGGAGGTGGGGGCGGGCATAAACGGGCTACGTCTCACCTTCCCGACCCAACAGCCATCCCATCTCTACTGATGACTGTCGCCTGAAGTCAGCATTAGGTGCAATTCACCGAGCGGCACCTGCGTGCGGGGCGTCGCACCGGCTCCCGAGGCCCCGCGCCCGCCCCCTCTCCTCGGTTGTAGTTACCGTGTCTCCAGGGGTCTTTGGGCTCCACGGCTCCGGACAC